CGGCCACTGCACTCCAGTCTGGGCGACAGAGTGAGACTCCGACTCAAAAAAAAAAAGAATCCCTTTCTTACAGTATTGTTAGCTATTCAAGGTCCGCTTATGAGTGAGAACGTGACACACACACATTTTGTCTTAAATATTTAAAAAATCAGACTGTACATGCCATTCTGTTAATTATTTCTCCTCCAATAATGATTCATGAACTTAAACAAATCGTTTATTTCCATCATATGCTGGGTGCTTTTTAGCATGGAGCACGATGATTTTTCTAGCTGACTTTGTGTTGGTGGGCACTCTGGTTGTTTCCCATGGGTTGCTGTTGCACACTTATTGCAGCACCATTTTAAAATTGAGTTGTTTTTTGCTGTTGAGTTGTAGGAGTTATTTAAATTTATTAGATATTTGGTTTGCAAATGCTTTTTCCCATTCCACCGGTTGCCTTTCGCTCTGTTATTTCCCTTGCTGTGCAGTTTTAAAGTTTGATGTTGTTTCATTTGTCTGTCCTTGTTTTTGGTGTCATATCTAAGAAATCATTGCCACGTCTCATGTCATGAAGCTTTTCCTCTGTTTTCTTTTAGGATTTTTATAGTCACAAGTTGTATGTTTAGGTCTTTAATCCATTTGAGTTGACTTTTGCATATGGTGCTAGGCTCATCTTTATTTTTTGCATGTGGATATCCAGTTTTCCCAGCATGATTTGTTGAAGAGACTGGAAAGTTTTAAAAGTATAAGGAGGAAAATCAAAGGACCCCAAGTCACACCACTAGAGAGAAGCACTTTGTGTGTGCTGGTGTCTGTATAAAACAATGTAATTCATTTATTCTGAAGATAGAAGGTTTTTGCACATTATAACAAATTTGAATCAGGATGATCACTGTTAAAATTGATGAAATCTTACAATTAATTGGCAGTGACTTTTTTTCCTTCTTAGTGACATATACAGTAACAGTTTTAAAAATCAATCTGGTAAATTTGGTGAAATGGAGTATATATAATACAGTTGAAAGAATCAGGCTCTGATTTTCATGTTTGTATGTTTCATAGTGTCGTGACTTTTCTCACTTTTCGTTGTAGGATAAGCACTTCCCATGTCCTTAAAGTGGCTCTTTCATCAGTGAGGACAGACACACCCTCTGGTGCAGGAAGCTGTGCGTGTGGAGGGGCAGAGCGCGTGTGGGAACCCTCTAGACTGAGCACTCATTTTTGCTGTGAACCTAAAATTGCTAAAAAAAAAAAAAGATAAAATTAAATAAAATCTGTTGTTTTAAAAAGCTAAAAAATTAATTCTTGAACCCTTTCCTTTCTGACCCCTTGCTGTGAGCCCCCATCAACCTTGGGCCACACTATGGTTGCTCTTGGTGGGGTCCTGGTGGGGTCCCCGTGGGTCCATCCAGGCTCCCTTCCCAGCTGGGTAGGCCGAGGAGCTGGTTCTTGAACACAGAGCTCCCAGTGGTCAGGTGTGGCTCTACTCACCTCCATGCGCGTGGTAGTAAGAGCATCCAGCTTGTCATTCCTTCAGCTTATCCTCAGTGAGCACCCATTATGTGCCAAATGCTGTTCTTGATGCTGGGCTATAGCAGTGAACTGAGCAGCACAGATCCCTGTCCTCGTGGAACTTCCATTCTTTTGTTTGTTTTTGAGACAGGGTCTCACTCTGTTGCCCAGGTTGCGGTGCAGTGGCACGATCATAGCTCACTGCAGCCTGGACTTGCTGGGTTCAAATAATCCTCTAGTCTTAGCCTCCCTCCTGAGTAGCTAGGACAGGCACATACCACCATCCCCAGCAAAGTTTAAAAATATATATATTAGCTGGGCTCAGTGGCTCAGCCTCTAATCCTGTGCTTTGGGAGGCTGAGGTAAGTGTATTGCCTGAGCCCGTGGGTTCGAGACCCGCCTGGGCAACTTGGCGAGACCTCATCTCTACAATAAATCAAAAACTAGCCGGGCATGGTAGCGTGCGCCTGTAGTTCCAGCTACTTGGAAGGCTGAGGCGGAAGGATCGCCGGAGCCCAGCAAGTCGAGGCTGCGGTGGCCGGGAGTGGACACTGCACTCCAGTCTGGGCGACAGAGTGAGACTCCAATTCAAAAAAAAAAAAAATTTATATATATATATATTTGTAAAAAGAGGCTCTTACTATCTTGCCCAGGCTGGTCTTGAACTTCTGGCCTCAAATGAAGCCTCAACCTCAAAAAGTGGTGGGATTACAGGCGTGAGCCAGCAAGCCCAACCTCAATCTTAAATAAATAAGCACAACATATAGTATATTGGATAGTGATAAGTACAAGGGAGAAAAAAACAGAACAGGGAAGGAGGACAGAAAGTCCTGGGGTAGGGAGGGAGGGTTGCAATTTTAAATAAAGAGGGTAGATTAAATGCATAAATTCTTTGCAGCTTTTCCCATTCAGAGGTGGAGAGTGTTGTGTCCCCCGACCCCCC